TAGTTTCTGTTAAGGAGAGAGGATATAAGATCAAGGAACATATTTTTTGGCAGTTTCTTGCTGTAAATTAGATGAGCTGCGTAGCTTATCTTAGCATAAAGACTGGAAATAGTGTTATACAGTTAGCTTGCCTTTATCCACAGTTAACAAAAAAATCCTATCAGCTCCACCAGAGCTCAAATTCCATCTCATTAAGCCATAGAAAAAACTAGGAATGTTGTGATGTTACAGGTGGTTATGTACTGTTTCTATTCCCCCCGTAAAACCAGGGTTATTTTTACACTTATCCTTTTTTTGTATAAATTTAACAAACTACATATAATATGTTAATTATTGAGATTAAGCGGTTATAGGTTACAGTTGGAGGAATTTGTTAGCTTGGGAGAGAGCCAGGCTAGATGTTTAACCCTCTTTCTAGTTATCATGCAAGCTAAGCTAACTGCTGCTGGCTCCAGCTTCATTATTTAGTGCACAAACCTTGAGAGAAGTTGTTTCGATCTTCTCATCTAACTTGTGTCAAGAAAGCCAATTTGCCAAAATGTGATACTATTGCTTTAAGAATCAATAATGCTTGGAATAATTTTTTCTCCTCTACCATTTACAGAAATGTGTTGCTCAAGATGTCTATTCTTGCTGTCTTGTGTTATTACTGGATGAATGAGGTGGCAAAGAAGTTTTCGGTATTTATGACAGGGATTAAACCTTAACCCTTAATTAATCCTTTAAACTCACCAATATTACTTTCATCAGTAGACATCACTATAGATAGCTATTTATCAACTTAATGTGTTCTTCACAGTGTTGGGAGTCCATGGTGGGACAGGCTTTGTACCGTCTGGTCATTGTTGATTTCCTTTTTCTGATGTTGGGATCCTTCTTCGGAGAGTTTCTTAGCAAGTGAGTTAAACACTTTGTTGTTTAAATTCTTCACAATCGCAGAAATGGGTAAATTTAACCTGAGATGTAAATCATATTCATCATTTCTCTGTAACAGTGTGATTGGGACGAGATTACTACCACGTCTGGGGGTTCCAGAGTTTGACGTAGCCAGAAATGTCCTTGAACTCATCTACGCACAGACCCTAGCCTGGTAAGAATAGTTAATTCAGCACTTACTACAGTATCTATCAGTTCAACGGAATTAAACGGAATTAAAATCAAGACTTGTGTTTAGTCTCCCGCCTAATTTACTATTAAGGGTTAACTTAACCTCTGTTTTCTCTTCACAGGATTGGAATATACTTCTCTCCTCTGCTGCCTGCCATCCAGATTCTCAAATTTTTCATCTTGTTTTATTTAAAGAAGGTAAACACGGGGCTCACAAGGTTTAGAGGCACTGGTAATTGTAAACTGAACTGCCATGATGACACACTGTCATAGGCAGATACAATGCCACCGCTGCCTGTGCTGCTCCATACTGTTTCAGGCTCAAGTTACTTTATTTGTGCACCTTGTTCAATAATTAATTGAAATCCTTTCATCACATTGACCGCATGCTCTATTTTGTGTTATGGAAAAGACGGGCAGGGTTTTGAATTTATGAAGTAAACCTTCTGGTTGCACTGAACAAGGCAAGGTCAGTCAATCCCAGAAAAGTAAATGGATTCAATACGATGGGTAATTTGACCCAGGCTGGATCTGGTGTTGTTCAATGTTTCATGAACACGCTGACTGACCTTTGAAGCAATGCTATTCAAAGCTCTGATCTTCACGTTTTCTATTATGGAGTGAAATAGATAGTGTTTCAGGCTGAAATGAGCTCATAGTTTTGTAAACTTCAATAATATTATACAGTGTATCACAACAATAATAAGTGAAAATGGTGTTTGTGTTACATGTCTTTGTTCACGTGTGTGTTTTAAATCACCTCCCCAGGTCAGCCTGACCCAGAACTGCCAGCCTCCGCGGCGGGCAGGCAGAGCAGCTCAGATGCAAACTATTTTCATCGCCCTCCTCTTCTTCCCTTTCTTTGTGGGAGCTCTGTCTATAGTTGCATACACTGCATGGAGGTATGAGGACATGACCTGTTTTGACAATTATAAACTTTTATGTAACATTAACAGCCTGGAGTCAGAGAAACACAATGTAATCATTACCATTCAAACTAAGTTATAACAAGACCCCACCAGTTATTTACCAGTACTTAAACCAAACCAAAACTCAGTCTTGTTTTGTCCACCATGTCCTGCTCTGTAGGCTGACTCCCTCAGAGCAATGTGGTCCTTTTCGGGGTCTCAACACTACCTTCAGCGTGGTTGGAGTTTGGATAGGGGATCTGGAGAATATCCCTGGTTCTCAGTGGGCCGTCTGGATCTACCAAAATGTCATCAGAAGTGAAATCTTCTACTTTCTTATCACACTCATCATCATGTAAGAGCATAGTGCAGGCGCCATGTTGTGTGTGTGCTACATGCATTTGCAGAGTACCAACTAAATGTCTAAATGCCCAGCTATGCTAGTGGCTCTATGAGGCAAACTGGTGGTTAAAGTTAAATGCTAATGTTAGCATGCTAAAATGCTCACAATGAAAATGCTAACATGCTGATGTTAAGCAGGGGTAATGTTTACCATACACTGTCCTAGTTTAGGGTGTTTGCATGCTCACAGTAGCTACTTGGATGTAGATACATACGATGAGCCTTTTATGAATTGTGTGAAGTGTTTCGTGTTTCTTGGAAAGAAAAGTAATTATGCATTTATCGCATATTCTTACAAAGAAACTAAATAGCTGAGGCAATGATGTCAACAAAATGAACAATTAAGTGTGTACATTAACTATTGTGATGTTTCAGATTGGACATTAAGCAACCTATACATCAGTGAATCAGTCATGTGGGGTAAACATGGTGCTCAATTCAGCAACATTAAAATACAAAGCAGTCACAAGTATTACCTTCATTGACGTTTATTTGACTACTAAGACATAGAGTGATACAGACTGGACAATGTGTACATAAAGTCCATGGTTGTGTGTGTTTTCTTGTAAAATTGTGCATCTTTGTGTCATTATGTAATATTGTGTCTTCAATATTATGTCATGTATATTATTATGTTTTTTTTTCTCAGTGTCATTATATACATCTTCTGGCAAGTCTCTCAGGGCCGTAGGCAGCTTATTGGTAAACTGAGACAACAGATCATTAATGTGAGTGTGTTTTCAAAACTGTGCTTTTGTCTATTTTTGCCATTATTTGGTACCCATTTGGTCTGCCTGTTTATCCCTTTGGCTGCATTTGAAATTCATTTATGAGTAATATCTATTATTCTTTTCTGTCTCTCTCTTCTTCTGTCTTCTCTTTCTTTTTCCCTCATCAGGCAGGGAAAGACAAGTCCTTTCTGTTAGAAAAGCTCCAGAACCTCCAGAAATCTCAGCCCAATAAAAAATCCATACAGAGGAATCCAAAAAACGTTTGTTGTGAAAATTATTATTTCATGCTAACTAATCACCTTTCACCCTGAGATTTGTTGTCAACCTCACAGCATGTTTTCTCCTGTTCTTCAGCACACCAAACGGCGTTCAGATGACCACTTCTCTGGGGGTCAGTCCAACTCAAACGCCATGGTCCAGGCCTTACTCGCTCGCCAGCAGCTTGAAGATGAGGAGAAGGTAGAGAGGCGCAGCGGAGTGCCTGTTCCCTCAGACATCTCCACCTCCAGCGCTTTGGCTCAGGCCATGCTGGCCCGTCAGGGAGCTGACGACCAGGATGAAGGTTTGTACTGGATGCATGACAAACACCCGTCATCCTCCAGCGCCCTTGCACAGGCCATGCAAGCCAGGCGGAGAGCACAGGTTCAAGAGGGAGAGGAATACTACAGTACAGAAGTTTTTTCTGAAAGCCCTGTCAACACATCTGTGTCAAATGTGATGATGCAAGTCATGCAGAGAGCAGAGGAAGAGGACAGGATGCAGTGGGCCCCTGCTCCCCCACAAAACCCAGCTCCCGCAGGCTCCAGCGCTCTTATACAGGCCATGTTGGCCCGGCAACAGGCCCAGAATGAGTATGATGACGGTTACTAAGCAAAGGGGTCTGACAGAACTGAAGAGATCAACAAAATGGATTTCTTTAAGATGACTGAAATCACGCTTGTCAGGGTATGCTTTGTGTTGCCACCCATAGATGAATTAGCATCAGAAATGTGATTTCTAGGGTGAATTGCAATCCGTTCAGTCCTGCTGCACATACAAAAGTCCTAAGATAACTACTGTAGCAGGTTTTGGAGAGAGTGCAGGTCCACCTCTTTATGCACCTTTTTTTTAAGAATATATTTTAATAGTATATTTCTATGACATATAAGCCATGTAAGATAAATAAGTACTATAACTATAATAATAATAATATTATATATATATATATATATATATACACATATATATAATATACTATATAAAATGATAAATATGCTAGGCCTGATTTTGTGCCATGTAATTTCTCACAAACTCCAGTTAATACTATATTTATTTCTGTGAAATGTAGATGAACACCAGATACAAATAAAAGAAAGTCAAAAAATACATTCAGCACTGTCCCCTGCATTAAATTACATTGTAAGAAATTGCTTTTGAAGTCGAGCTATTAAGTCCAAAATAAACCAGCGTCAGCAAGCTAAAACAGTCACCAGTTAAGTAAGTCTGCAAACAACACTGCCCTCTGTAGGAATTATGTATAAAATGCCACAGATTAAGCATTGAGTTGTAGGTTTCATCACACAAATTTTATCTCAAACTTTGTTCTTGGCCAGGGGTTCAATAGGCATAAAGATCCCCTCCAGACATGTTTTAAGATATAAAAAGATATATAAAAAATACTCTGCTGTGTGTCTGACATGGTTTTTACACAAAAAAGTCTAATTATCTTGTTAAAAATGAGTAAAATTACATCTAATCCTTTTCCCCAATTGAAACATCCAAAATGAATGAATATATATATATATATAAAGTGGTTCTGAGGGGGACATTGGAAATAATGCCCCTGAAAATAACAATAACCAAAACACATGGATAGTGGAATGGAGATGGACTTTAATCAAGCATGTTCGTCTGAAAGAAACATTTTCACAGCACTGACGATTTAGTTTCCTCCAATCAAAGCAGAAACATCAAATGAAAATAACATACTGTACTGGAAATGAGTGATACTATACAGACTGTTGCTAATTGCTATTGTGTCGTTATAAGTGTTAATGTAAACTTTGCTACAAAGGTCATGTTAGAAGTTTCTCTGCAGTTTGCACATTTTAATGAAAAGTGTTACAAATGCTTGCTTGGGCGTCATGAGAGAATAAATGTAACGGATTGTGAACATCCAAAAAAAAAAGATACACTTTATTCCACAACCATTCTGTGTACAAACATACTGCACATTTACACACCACAACTTATTTACAATGTACATGATGTAGGCACCTCATTTGCTGTAAAGTATGACGAGTTAAACTGTCAGCCTGTCTTTGCAGTGATTTATTAATTGACTGAAACATGTTTAATAAGGCTATTAGCATCTGAGAAACCCTCACTCTATTTAGAGAAAACACCATCTTCCATGAGACTAGTTCCAGTTTGTAGCTCCTACGTGACTTGAAGCTCCGTGACTACAAATGCCAACAACACACTCACAAATAAGGCTGTGTTAAAATGTATCAGATGGAGCAAATGATTTAGTCTGAAATCCTGTTAGTTGTTCATCCCGTACTGAACAGACTGGATATGGAGAATGGTGCTTCCATCCATCAGAGAAATGCCACTGCCTACTGTCCTGTCCCGTTCAGCACTGTTCTTCCCCCAAAGATGCTGCAATGTCACTCAGGTCCAGAGAGTCAACAGGTATGGGAGTTCTCCTGATGCTTTTTGGGGTCTGGCTGGAATAAACCTCCACAGATTTGGTGATGGAGTGCACGGGGTGCTCCCGGAAATATCCGAAAGCCTCACGTGCGTGCTCCTCCCGGATGCTTTGCTCGAAGGTCTTGCGTTTGTGCCTGAACTCGATGACGGTCTTCGTGTAGGAGTTGAGGGTGGTGACCGACGCGCCCATGCAACAGGTGAAGGACGCCCAGGCCATGCTGACAGAAAACAGAGCAAAGAGAAATTCAATTTGTAATTCAGCACATGTGGTGACTCTGCTGTAGGCTTTTGTGATGTGTGACTAACCCCACCCAAATGGCATTTTGCCATTTTTCCCTCAGTGTTTTTGTTTGCTGAGATTAGTGTCAATCACTGCCGGGCCACATGTCAGATCAAATATTCAAATCACCGCCTCATGTACAGTTCACGCAGGTCGGTTAATGCCCAGAGAAGGTTGTGAATTGTTTTGCCTCTATCACGAATTTTCAGCACAGTCCGTATTGTAAAGGAGTGAAATATTATCCCCTTATGCAATTCCAATCACGCCTGTATCTGGGCTTTGGACACCAAAGCCTAATCCTGCCGTAACATGAGAGCTTTGGGATTTTTTCATTAGAGACAGTGATGCTGGGGAGAGGTGAGAGCAGAGCTACAGCCGCTGCTACATGCAGAATGGAGTCCCTTATCTGGTCTCCTAATGGGTGAGTTGACTTAACTTTATTTCTATAGCTGTGCTGCGTATGATATTGGCAAACAAAAATAGTATGAATATGATCTTTGAGTTTGTCGTACCAGAAGGACCAGCCGTAGTCCCAGTTGTAGGGCCTCCAATCGGGTGGACCGAGGCTGACCGTGACCTGGAAGACTTGTGTGTACATCACATGAGCCACCATGCCGAGAAGACCTGAAATAATATATGTGGTTAGTTGGCTGACTGCGTGACATATACAAAGGCTTCTTCAAAAATAGGATGATTTGTTTCCACAAGTACAGAGTTACAGTAAAATCTTTTCATCCACACACAAATATAGATACATGTAACCACACTGAAAAAATGCTATGCCAATCTTGATGGCCTTAAATCCCCATCCAGAATAGTTTAAGCTTGTTCATTCTCAATTGTTCTGAGCTTTTTTGCACAGAATCTGCTGACCCCCCCCAATATAGTCTTTAATTCCATCGGATCTTGTCAGCCACGACATTTCTTAAACTTATGACTTGACAACATGACTCATACTGTTATTTATCACACTCTTATGTAATAGATTTTAAATATTGTTTGTATTTATTCCTGATCATTACAGAAAAAAAAAAATATGGAAAAGAATCATGACTACAGGGTATCCCAGGCATTAAAAACACTGAAAGGCTTTCGAATAAAACATCTAATATACCTGAGAGCACAGTGAAGACAGCAGCAAAGGCATTTAGCTTGAGTCCATCAATGACGTTGCTGGAGTGGACCAGCTCTAAACACATGAGGCTGAAGCCCACCACCAGCAGAACAATGTACAACATCTCAGAAACCAGCGACAGCCAGAGCATCCCTGCGAAACGGGCACATTTGATTACAATAACATCAAATATTAACATTTTATATCATAGCATGATGTAACTTATAGTATACATTATATTACAATAACTAAGAGTAGGTGAATAGCATACATGTGCTGTATGTGAAACCAAGCAACACCACCACGCTTGCCATCATGTCAGAGATTGCATGTTGTGTCATGTCCTTTTAAATGTAGCACAGCTTCACTTATACAAAATGGCCGATGTACAAAGGGGCAATAATTACATTGAACTTTTCATATTTTCATCACTTTTAAAACAGACACTGATCATGTAATAGACAAGTGGAGGATTTAGATTTCATCCAACATCTCGGTGATTCCTCAGGCAGCTGATAGGTGATGTCAGAGCAGTCTACTCCAAATCTTATTCAGCTCCCTAGTGAATCACGCCAAGTGTAATTGCATCTCCATTGCAGTCTGCCTCTCGTCTTTTTTGCTATTCAGTCACTTCACAGAGTGACAGTAAGTGAACATTTCTCAAATGACAGCATCAACACAGCTGAAATCCTAAAAGTTAGCATCAAATGTGTGTGTGGCTGCATCTGTGCATCTTCACTGTTAGGGCTAGAGTTCCAGTTCTGGCCTTGTGCTCTACTTTCTTACTGACTTCATACCAGGCCTCAAGCACAATGGGTTTGACATAATTACACTTAAAAAGTGGTTTGCAATAACAGCATCAATCATTTCATGTTTCCTGTGAATATGTATCTATAGAGTAGCAGAGGGGAAGAGCCTTGTGAACTCCACCAAACAGGTAGTAACTGTCTCATGAGTCTCTCCTCGGTGGGCCTGATATAGAACTTTTGATTGGACATCCTGCTGATGAGCAGTGGACACTCACCTTTCTCTGAGGCAGGGGCCAAGTCGATGAAGCTTCGGCATCTCTCACCTACAGCAGGAAAAACAACATATTGTCATGGCAGCTGTCAGTACCGTAGCAGTGGCATCTTTAGCCACTTACTTTATGTTGCATTAACTATGTGGCACTTCAAAAATAAGTGAGTAATATGCTTGTGGAAGAGTTTTCAAGAGCTAAGGTCAGAAGGGACCGGTTTATGATTGACAAATAGAACTGAATAAATAAATGCTCTTAGCACTGAACTGATACAGGCCTCAGTTCCAGTCCTAATCTGTGTTTAATTCTCAATTTCTGTCCCGGTGTGTTACACTGGATTGGCTCAGACAGAGTCTGACCTCCCGCCCGATTACCAAATATGAATAAATAGAATGTTAAATAAGAGGCAGATGTGTCAGAAATGCAGCTTTTTGGCCTTCTACCAGCTGGTGTGTTGCTAAAGCCGCTCAACATCTGCTTCTTGTCCTATTACAGATACTTTGCATAGAATTACAATGATAGAATAGAAAAAAGAAAGAAGATGCACCGTAATAACACTTGTGCCGGTCAAACCTTCAACACACCGTGAGACATAATGAGGTCTTGTGTCAGTTTAACAAACTGGATATGAAAAAATGACCCTTGACACGGCACATTCCTGCAGATGTGATGTTTTCCCTCTGTCATCTGTCGAGCGGAGTGTGTCGCTGGATTTGACGTAAGTGGAACTCTTTAATCAGGTGGAACGAGGGTGGCAACAGCTGTTTTGAAGAAAAACTCATCAAGGCCCCCTGTTACATAATCCTTATTAAGTCCCCCCCCCCTACAGCCACTTGATGAGATTTTGAATAATCTAATGTGTGGTTCATGTTTAGTCTTGAGCATCATAACAATATGTAATATTAATACAGTTATAAGCAGATGTCAGTGTGGTGTTTACAGATCTCAGTTTACAGATGAATGGTGGATCAAAGTGCAGTAGTCTAGCCTGATCACATCTTCTGATGCACATTATGAAGTTTTTTAACTATATTCTGGAACCTTTGACCATACCTTGAACTCATCCCATTTCCGCATATAAAGTTCTTAAGCACACATTTTCAATTCCCCTTGACTCAGTTTTCACATACCTCCCTCCCCAAACCCCCTCTTTTCCTTCCCTTTTCTCTCTTTGTCTGCATACAGGAACCGGGGGCTCTGCACACCCACTCACAAAGAGATGGCTCCCCCACTCAGAGTCTTAACTCGGGTTCCCACCCACCTTCCCGCCAGCAGATACCAGACTTTGATATCCAACATCTATGGACCCCATTCCTCCCCTCATCCCTTCAGCCCTCACTCTCCCTCCCCTCACCCCCTCATCCATCACCCCTCGACCCTTAGCCCTGCCTCCCTCAGACCTCCCTCCGGATCCTCAATCCATCACTCAATAACATGCAGTAAACCATTCTAAATCTACATCTTTGCAGGTGTGGTCTTTGTTAATGAATTACCTTTGCAACGCATGTCCCCCCATTAAGCCCCTTGTTATTAAATGACTATACTCCGATGTGATCAAATTCCTATTCCATTTCCATGAGTGAAGAAATTAAGCTTGTGCAAACATCATTCACTTTTTTCTCTTCCATTTGGCTTAAGCTGTGAAGCAATCACATCCTGCCCCTATCAAGTGCTGTGCAGCCACCCACTTCAAACCCTGGTCCGAGTACAATACTGAATCTGAAGCGTGAGCACTGTTTACTCTGCATTTCATGCCAGATTAAAACAGATAAAGCAATTTTACCAGATCCCTGCAATTTCAGGCTGATATAAATTGAAGGAGATTATCCTGAAATTGTCATGAAGTGGAATAACTCAAAAGAGAATCTAATCTCCATTTGAACTGTGTGCTCCATTTTGGCAAATGAGGGAGTTAAAATGACTTTCAGAGGTGAACATTTGTTTATTGTATATTCAGTTTTGAATGGTGAATGGTGAGTTAGTGGTTATGTAGGCTCAGAAAATACCCTGCTGTCTATTTAAGTAAACAGTGAAGATGGGGACAATTATGATCTATCCTGTAATAATAGGCTACAGTTGAGAAATGCAATTTTCGATATTCCAAAAAAAAGTAAGAATAGTCCCAAATTGTTATCAAATAGATTTTCAAATCAATAGGCTATAAATAAAAGGGTAGTAAAAGTGTTTCTAAATTAAGGCTTCTTTTTGATCATTCCCTGATCTTAACGATTTCATTGGACAGTCCCTGAAGTAGACACGAATGTCCCTCCAATAACAGGAAGATGTTAAACATCTCGCACCATAAATCACTGCACTTAAAATATAAAAATACAAAAAGTAAATTGCCTCATTGTGCATCAAATAACGGTGCCTGGGGGAGATACAAAGTTAAACTAGCTAAGTAAGTTACACACACCTCCACACACACCTTTTGCTCTTACTTTCATCGTGGATATTTTCCTCGCAGGAGAACCAGATGCCTGTATGGAACTGTCGGAACAGAAACCTGTCGTCCCCGGTCTCCCAGCTGTACACCACTTTGTTCGGGTCTGTCTCGTTCACTCCGTAGTCTATACACTGGTGTGTCCGCAGCTTGCTGCACTTCGGCTTGGGGACTCTCTGGGTCCCCACGCACCAGTAAGTCGTTATAAACGCTGTAATTGAGAAAAACAGGGCGAAGAAGTTCAAGCTAACCGACAGAAGGGTCCTGCATCGACCACTCGCTTTCATTGTCCTCGGGAAAGATGCAGCGGCGCGCGGAGGGCCGAAAAGTTCATGGGTGCCAAATTATAGTAGATGCACGAGCCCCGGCTAATTTCACACCTGCTGAGGTCCTTTTTGGCGCTCTCCAGTTACCAAACATCTCCACTGGTGCGCAGGATACAGACAGCAACCCCACACTGAGTTCAGCTGTGTGCCAAAGTGTCACACTTTCTTCATCAGACCTTTCTGTTTCACGCGCGGTGCCCCCCGAGTCTCCTGCCTATAGGATATCACGTTGTCAAAGAATGTGACGCACGCTTGCATCAAGTGCGGGATTTTCTTGTGACGCGCTCTTTCACTCGCTCTCACCCTCTCTGTCTGTAGGGTGAGGCAGCCTCTCCTTTCCCCATCGCTCACACACAACGTACCAACTGCAGGGCGATTATCAGCCAGTTAATATGTAGAACAAAAGTTACCACTTAAAACTTAAAACTTCAAAATCTAAGCAACATACAGCTTAACAAGATCTGCAGCCAGACTCCAGTGCAGGATTTCAGAATTGAACAAAATTGCCCATTGAGGGGACTTACATTTAGGGACTACTCCAGAATATTTTAATAAAGCTGGGGCACTCAAAAGAGACATATAAAAAAAGGAAGGATGCAGCATGTAGAAAACCCTCGCCCTGTCCCTTAAATGTTCACATCTTTAAACCCTACACTTCTAGTTTGTATCACAGTCATCCAGTTTTAGGTTGAAGAACAATCCACGATAACCCTGATGATATCACCAGGGTTATTTTTCTTTAATATTGGAAGCTTCCTCCGGAGCCGCACAAGACGTTAGTATAAAATAGCAACTATTTTCACAAGTTCTTCCTCGTGAGAAGTAAAGGGACCTTTGTATAATCATTCTCTCGGTCTAGTTTAGAAAAGTAAAGTGCGACTTTGAACTTTACTTTGAAATCTGGACATCTTCCTTTGTGGGATTTGCTGTGGTGGCTGACTATGTAATACTGTACAGACGAAACTTAGTATTGATTCAATGTTCATTCAGTTATTACCAGGAATAAATAATGTATTTCTCTTACATCTGTCCCATACATGAAATTATGGAGCGATGTGTTTTTCCAGCAACCCAGGTATCAGAAACCAATTCATGGTACAAACATCTGGGACATGTACTTTGGAAATTTCATACATTTATATATTATTTAAATGTATTATTATTTATAATTATTTATTTAATGTCTTTCTAGCAACTCAACATCAAAGAATAAAGTTCCATAACAATTCATACACAGCTTGTTTTGCATAAACCGCTCTACTGATTTTGAACATGGGAAGATTTCCTTGAGGTTATACAAAATGTTCTATTTTTTAAACTCTTTACTTTGATTTTGACTTAGAGTTATTAAAAAACTCTTGATTATTAGTTTTATTGGTTACAATGCAGGGACAATGCACAAATCATGAATTATACCAGATATAGCTAAAAGCTCATTTCTATTTGTAGTCACAGAAGCAACCATGATACGCAGGTTGACCAAGTAAAATTACATAATTTAGCATTTGAACTGCTGCTGCTACTGACCACACTGATGATGGTCTGTTGAGCTCTGCACACTGTGAGAAGTCGAGGTGACTATACAAAACTGAGAGCCTGCAGAGAAGCGAGTCTTCTAATCTGATCTTTGCTGGATTACAGAAACAACACAAAAGTTGGCATTTCAAAGACGTTTCCCATGAGTACCATGATTCCTCTGTGTGAGAAAGAGCTAAAAATACAAATCATTTGAGCCTCTGTACAAACAGTGTTTACAACCCTGGAGTAAATGAGGCCAGCTAGGCCTGGCATCTCTGTTACCTCAGCAGCATGCCTTCATGTTCAGCTCCGGAGGCTAAGCTTCAGCATGGAAAGTGACAAATCAGGCCAACACTTGCCCCAAATACGGTTGAAAAAGCTGCTGGTGATACTGTGGGTAATTACCACCATGGTCTTATGTAAAGTTGGTGTTATGACCTGGCTCAAGGCCACAACAAAAAGGGAGACACCACGGTGAACATTTAACAAAATAGATTTTTCAACTCAAAATAAGACAAATTAAGACTAGTGCCAATGTAAAGGTGATAAAGTATGGGGTATGAATATCAGTGGTTTCAGTCATGTCAGGGCAGGAGGATGGATGCATAGAAAATGTGTGCAAAGGTGTTCGTAATGTGCAATAAACTACAAATAAAACAGCATATCCATAAACCAAGGCAAAGGTGGAACCTGTGGAGCGAAACTGAGGGTAGTGAGTTAGCAGGGAGGTCTGTGACTTCAGCCCAGTAGCGTTATCACTAAGAATGAAAATAAGGCGTTACAAATACTCTACAGGGCAATTAGCCCAGGTGCCCAGAGTTACTGCAATCAGTCTCAGCTATTCACCTGCATCAAACAATTAAGGTAACTCTAAAATAACTACTACGCACATTGACAAGTACCAGCCACCCCATTCATCATTGTACTTATAATTCCTTTGAAGTCTGACATAGAGACCAATTCTCTTAGTTTCAAGTCTTTTTGAAGTTCGTTCTAAGCGAGCAGAGCACACATAAGCTTTCTTTCCCAGTGCCGTCAGTACACCTGGAACAGACAAGACCAGATCTTGTGACCTCAAATGATAGCTAGAGTCAGATTTCTGTTGTATTAGGGTGGAAATATAAGATGATGGTTTACCCAGAATGGATTTATAAATGTTCAAGTAGCAATGTTTGAGTCTCTGAGCGTTCAGGGATGGCCAACCAACTCTGGGGTAAAGTGTACAATTATGAGTGAGGGCTTTACAGTTTGTAAAAAACTTCACTGCACTGTGATATGTGGTGTCTAATGTGTGCAAACACTACAGATGCATTCAGATCACCATAGTCAAGAACCGGTCAAAAATGTAGCAAAGACAATGGAAATTGAACTGCTTTGGTAATGGTTAAAATATTCCAGGAGAAGACCCACTGAAATACTGCAGGATAAGTCATGACTACCCACTCCATGTGTAAACCCTTCTACACGTCTCAAAGCTTCAAAAAGTGCTCTGTGTTCTAAAATCACTTAGAGGTTTGTGCCAACAGCTGACCAGAGTTGCATTGAATATCAGCAGCATACTGCAGAATACTTGGCTACAGTTTGGTAAACAGTGCTTATGACGTCCATGTGGATGGTGATAGGCTGTCTCCTGAGTTTGTAGCAATAACAAGCAGTTAATCCAGTGCTCTCACGTTAACACACTGTAAGTGCTCTGCTGCAGCAAATGTCACACATCCACCAAAGTTTTTGGCTGGAGAATAATTCAGTTTGCCACATTTCAGAAGAGGCAGTTCTACGTCATGTACATATTTCATTTGAATTTCAGGCTATTTGTGTGAATCTGAAGCGTTTCAGTGTGGGGGGGGCACATATGACACAAACACAATCTTCAAATGTGTCTTATCCTCAAGAAACACACTGAAGTTATTGAAAATATACTTCATAATCCTGGTTCAGGCTCTCTGACACACTTATTGACACGTTTAGTTTTTAGCTTCCAATGAACTGAGACTAAAGGGTGTTATCTAAACTCTATGTGGGGTAATTCTTTGAATTTTATTTTGACATTAGGAAAACCACCAAAATAGCTTTCTGCCACTTAAGGACATTGCTATGGCCAGGCTAATAATTAGGCTTGATAGCTACAGTTAACCACAACTTCTGCAGCCAGGATCCTTACTACATGCACATATCACCCTTACTACATGCACATATCACCTGTTTTCTAAAATCTCACCACTGGCTGTCTATTGGTTAAAGCAACTATAATCAGTATATTTAATAATTATCCAATATTATTGGATCAAATTACTAAGTGTAATGCAAAAGGAGTCTCTTGTAGTGACAAACCTACAGAGAATTATCACCAACTCTGCAACTCCCATGGCAGAGAGATCAATGTTTTCCAGGAGAACTCTACCATCGGAAATCAGGTTTCTCTAGTCCCCAGCCCCAGATTACATATATAATAAAGATTATTATTACAATTACTATTATTAGAGAAGACGGCCACAGTAGTATAGTTATATAAACATGCTATGACATATTGTATATAGAAATCTTACATAAGTTATCTGGGACATAGGCCAGAATGGATTTCACTGGCTGCTTGACTAGAACTGATCTGTTAGGATTTGATAGAGATAATAAGAGGACACATTTCCTTACAGCTCTGCCTAAGCTTGGGAATAACATGGACTTGACCATCATGAATGATCATCGAAGACAAAAAAAAGTGGGCTAAAAGACATTTTAATCTTCTTTTGTTACTCTGAAAATCGTTGAACGTGCACAGCTGCAGCCTTCGCATGCATCAAGATGACCACGTATATAGACACACAGAAAAAATGAAGACATGATTATTTTCCCTTTATGAGATCATGTCACCTCCTGTACAGTATGGCATCAGATCACACGCAACTGCTCCAATTTAACCTGGAAAAATGCATTAATTTAAAAGGAGCTTCTGCTATTGTGCAAGAGTATCCATGTCAAAAGAGATTAAGACCTATTGCATAGCATCTTTCATTTAGGTTTGAAAACCTTGGGGGCATAATGTGGCTTCAGAGTGCCACGTTGAAAGGCCTAAGCTCTTGACAGACAGACTTCATTTGTATTTCAGTGGCAACTTCCGCTTAAAGCTGCTAAGAGTAGAATTTGCCTCTAAACAGATAGCCCCTAAGGATTAGTCTTCATAATCTGCCGTTCACTGATCCTCGAAATCACACTGTCTGGGTGCTCTGAAATCAGCTTACAGTAGTACAGACAGTAGATGGTGTGCGAGTGGTTTTATGATTAGGATTGCATTCCGTGCGGACTTTATGTACAGTAGCAATGGATGACAAAAAGACAACAGTTTAGGGAGAAAGGACGCATCACCTACTGTTGTGGAAACACACTGTGACAGTTTCTCGCACGCACTGGCACGTAATCAGTCAATTAGTTTCCTTCTGCTGCACATAAACAAACAGATGCCCGGTGTACAAATTGAGGATTTCTGGTAAACTCTGACATCCATGTGGAAATCCAGAGCAGGAAACACAATCATTTTAAGTACACTAACGCATGAATTCACCAGCTGAGCTCACAACTGCTCACTATTGCACTTCAATAGAACAGACTTCTGTTGTATGTATGCATCAAAAATGGATTCACTCAACTGTGCAATGGCCTAAAAGGTCAAAGGACAAACAACACAAAC